GGGGGACAGTGGCCGCCCGCCCGCGGCGGACCCGCCCCTTCCCGGCCCGGCGCGCACAGGCCCCTCGGTGGGGACGAGGCCCGGCCCGCAGCCGCCCGCCCGCGGCGCTGACGCGGAGACACGGGCGCGGACGTCCAGCCGCGCAGGCGGCGGCCTCCGCTTTCCCCGGGGAGAGGCACTTAGACGGGCGCGAAACACGAGCGCCCCGAGCAAGTCAGAGCAACACGTGGTGCCCGGGGCGCAGAGGCGCGACGCCGGAAGCGCCGGCGCTGACGTGCGCCGTGCGGTGCGCGCCGCCGAACGGACATGTTGGCGGAGCGTTTACCCCGCGCTCCGTCCCGGGACCAGCCGGCCGCGGCCGTAGGAGCGCGGCGCTCGTTTCATAAGCGTCGGAAAGGGGAGGATTCTGCGCACGTTACTGGGTGGGATCGAGTCGGAGTCCGTTCCTAACAGCGGGGCCATCGGAGACTTCTGAGTTGTCACCATCATCATGTTAACTAACCGTTATCGGGCTCTTACTTTTATTTTCTGGACCTTGCTCTTAAGTGCGTCCTGTGTAGTAACTGGTTTAATCCCGCGTTAGGCCACACAGGCGCCCCTCTGAGTTTTGCGGGCGAGGATGGCCGCTGCGCTCGCTGGCCGGCGGGCCTCGCTGACTGCCTCTGGCCTCCTGCCCGAGCGCTTTGCTTTTATTTTAGTACGTAGCAAGAGGACCACGGTGTTTAACAAAATTGTATGAGTCTTAGAAAGCTACATTACTTTGATTAAAAAAAATGTAAGCCTTCTATTCATTAAGCCTTAGCTAATATGTAAATATATCAATTTCCTAACATTTGATACTTCATTCATTTCCTTAATGTAATGGTCCAAGTTACAGCCCTGATGTTATTGTCACATAATGGATAATGTCACTTAAAATTTTTTAAACCTTTCCTTTTTTTTGGGGGAGGGTGTTGCTATATAGATTGATGACTCTTATTACGGTATATTTTTGCTAAGTTTTTGAAATGTAAGAAAAAAAATGAACAAGATTGGCAACCTGTTTTTAGTCCTTGTATGTCTTTTCACAGGGAAATCAGTGCCTAAATAGCCAGTTAGTATAAACCAGGTATGAGCCAAGTGAAACAGGAAAAGATCCATATATTTTGTTCTTACCTGATGTAAGAGGGTTTGCTCTGATTTTAGAGTTGCAGCAATTTTGTTTGTTTAAACCAGGAGGCATTTTAACCTTCGTAATTGAGAAAGCAAAAGTAGATTTCGACTTACAGGTTAATTGAATTTTTTTTACTTTGATTTGAAGATCAGTTTTTAGTTTTTTCCAGGCCTTGCCCATGCCCAGTTCTTGGCCCCCTTTTAATTATAATGGAAAGTTAACATTTATATAACCAGTTGTCGTTAGAAAGCCTTTAAGTGAGCCTTTTAGCAAGTCTGAGAAGATACATTCGTTCTTCACTTATTAATCATTCTCATTATTTTTTTGAATCCTTTTAATGTGTAGGATGATAACGAAGATAATTCAAATGATGGGACCCAGCCATCCAAAAGGAGGCGAATGGGCTCAGGAGATAGCTCTAGGAGTTGTGAAACTTCAAGTCAAGATCTGGGGTACTGTCATTTTATTGCTTAATAACATTTTTTGTGGTATGTTTCTCTTCTCTGTATTAGCTCTCCACTCCTCTCGCCCCAGCCCTGGTAAAGGCAGTTATCGAAAATTGTAGAATATTTGTTTGTCGTGTTTTACAGTGTGACGCCAAAGTTGCTTTTGCTCTCTGTGCAGTTAAATGTTTTTTGTTTTTATTTTTTTAATTTTGGTAAAAAAATGCATAAAATTCACCATTTTAACTATTTTTAAGTGTGTAGTTCAGTGGCATTAATTACATTCATAATGTTGTATGACTATCACCACCATCCATTTCCAAAACTTTGTCACTACTGAAAACAGAAACTACACAACCATTAAGCACTAAAAATTCCCATTTCCCCCTTCCCCCAGACCCTGGCAATCACCACTTTACTGTGTCATTATGAATTTGCCTATTCTAGGTATCTTGTATAAGTGGAGTCATACAATGTTTGTCATTTTGTGTCTGGCTCATTCCAGTTAGCGTAATTTCTTCAAAGCTCATCCATGTTGTAGCATGTGTTAGAATTTTCTTTCTCTTTAAGGCTGAGTTATACTCCATTGTATGGATGTACATTTGTTTATCCATTTGTTGATGGACACTTGGGTGGTTTCCATCTTTTGGATATTGTGAATCATGCTGCTGTGAATGTTGGTATATACATATCTGTTCAGAATCCGTATCCTATTCCCTTTGGATATATATACCTAGGAGTAGAATAGCTGGATTATATGGTAATTTTGTTTTCCACAGTCGATGCACCGTTTTATATTCCCACCAGCAATGCACAGAGTTTCCAATTGCTTCCCATCCTTAGCAGTTTGTTATTTTCTCTGTGTGTGTGTGTATGATAATAGCCATTGTAAAGGTATGAAATAATATCTCGTGATTTTGATTTGAACTTCCATAGTGACTAATGATTTTGAGCATCTTTTCATGTTCTTATTGGCCATTGTATGTCTTTGGAGAAACATCTATGCAAGTTTTTTGCCCATTTTTAAATTGGTTTTTTTGTTGTTGTTTAGTTGTAGGAGTTTTTTATATATTCTGGACATTAATCTCTTATCAGATATATGATTTGCAAATATTTTCTTCCATTGTACAGGTTGTCTTTTTACTCTGTTGATAATGTCTTTTGATGCACAAATTTTTTAATTTTGCAGAATGCCTTATCTATTTTGTTGTTGCTAATGCTTTTGGTTTCATTTCTAGAATCCATTTCCAAATTTGAGATTGTGAAAATTTACCAATTTTTTCTTCTAAGAGTTTTCTAGTTTTAGTTCTTATATTTAGGTCATTGATCCATTTTTGAATTAAATTTTTGAATCAATTTTTTTTTTTTAAAAGATTTTATTGGGGGAATTGGGGAGGGAACAGCGCTGGGGAATCGGGGTAGGGGAACAGATAAGTTGCTGTCCTTTTGTTCTTCAGTCTAATTGTGGAGGATGTTGCTTCACTGGCCCATGTTGATATTATCACTGTGCTCTTCCTGGGAGAGGCATTCACTTGCAGATCATTGGACAGTCACTCACAGCGGCTCACGGCAGCTCACGAAAGCTTACGCCCGCTGCTGGCCAACCCCACTGCAGCCCAGCTCCAGGTCGAGCTGTTGTTGACTATCTTAGCTGTAGAGGGTGCAGCGTCACTGGCCCATGTGGGACCCGAACCGGGGCCCTGCTGCTCAGAGCTGGCGTCCCAAGCCAACTCCTAACCAACACGCCACTCGGCTGACCATTGAATGAATTTTTATATGTTATGTGAGTTAAGGGTCCAGTTTCCTACCTTTGCATTTCAATATCCAATTTGCCAGTATCATTTTTGAGAAAACAGTTCTTTTTGTTCGTTACTTTAAATTGTTTAGGTGCATGAAATAGCGTCACATTCCTGCCTCTATTATCCATTGATGAAATTTAGAGGTTGGATTGATCCAGGTCCAGAAGTCTGTAGTCTTTGCTGTTCAGGAGTGGGATTGATCTGTAATGCACTGGCACCATCAAACTGGGTCCATTCTTAGCTTCTGGGTTAATGGAGTCTGTCAACAAATAATAACGGTTTATAGTTCAATTCATTGGGAAATAGGTTTTTAGAGTTCTGCTTTCTCAGCTTTGCGTGATTTACTGAACAGCAGATGGAAAACAAGTTGATAACTTTAAGCCTTGGTTGAATGAACTAGTGGCTATGGGTGTTTCGCCGAGAAGAAAGAATTTGGAACTGGTGTCACCACCCCATTTGGGCCTTAAAGGCATCTTAAGCTAAAAAAATGCCTTTGTTCTTAACAATTGTTGTGAGTGTTGGTTCTTTGTGGTACATAGAAAAATGTTATTTCCATGTACTTTTTTGTTTTGGCATTCCAGATGGTTTCTTTTCCCTCTATCTGTTTTGTAATTTCCTTTGTTAACACATGAAATCATGGGACTTTTTTTTGTATTGCAGGTCATAGAATACTGAGAATTTAAGTAATTAAAATAGTTTTTCAAAGTCCTTAAAAATAAACATCCTCAAAAATAAATTCTTAAAAATAAACATTCTTAAAAATAAAAATGATTAAAATTTAATAGAAGCTGCATCTAAGGCATAACATATATTTCTGTGCTTAGCTTTAGCTACTACCCAGCAGAAAATTTGATCGAGTACAAATGGCCGCCCGATGAAACAGGAGAGTACTATATGCTGCAAGAGCAAGTCAGCGAATATCTGGGCGTGACCTCCTTTAAACGGAAATACCCAGGTATTCAGTCTTGGTTCGTGTAACAGATGACGTCGAACTTTTAACTCATAGTGATTCTTTTTCATAGGTTGTCGACCAATGAATATTTGAGTTGGGATTATTTATTGGTTGTCGGAAAAGTCATGACGTATGTTTTCTGTTTTTCGTTATAAAAATGCCTCGTGACTTCTCCGACAACCCAATATGATATATTTTATATCCTTCTGTCCCTTGATTTTCATTTACTCCTATCATCCAGCATCTGTCTCTAATATTAATTTGCTCTTTTGTCTTATAAATTGATTTGAAAAGACAATGAGGAAGATACAGTTCCTGGGAAAAATTTTAGAAAAAAATCATTTTGTAGCTACATGAACCAACAACTTTGATTCTTTACTGTTCCTCCTCAACCTTTGGAATGGAGGTAGCTATTTAAGCCATATCAGAATTTGAGAAATGCTATACTTCATCAGCTATTTTAATATAAATTAGTTATGTTAACTTCTAGTTTTGGATTCTCTCTTCAGTTTTATTTTAAATTTATTTCTTGAATTTGTGAGAATTTTTGTGTAGCCTATTTTAACTTTAATAATTTAAAACCATTTTTTAAGCTTTTAAAGGTTCTACAAATGCATAAATGTTACAGATGCAAAAGACTATTTTTAATAGTCCTTTTTTTTTTTTTTGGAGATTTAGAGCGACGAGATTTGTCTCATAAGGAGAAACTCTACCTGAGAGAGTTAAATGTAATTACAGAAACTCAGTGCACTCTAGGTAATGAAAGCTTTTAATGTGAATTTTGAAAGCTAACATTTATAAGATATTGGATGAACATTTATTTCCTTTCCTAAAATATTTTACAAAATTAATAAAGTAGATTGAATTATTTAAATGCTAAATTGTTTACTTCATTTTTTATTATTGTTAAGATACAAAGGAGAATGGTATATTTTATAACAATATTGTTTCCTATATAACTTTCACAGAAGTGTCTAAGTGTGTGTGTTTTGTGTGCTGAATGTGTATAGTACTTTTTAAAACTATTGGTTGTGGAACCTGAGGAAGAAGATACCTACCAAGAAGGACTCCTGGGGGCTAACTGGGCTCAAATTTAACAACAGAGCCTAGCACTGTTTCTAAACAGTCTTCTCCCGCTCCTGCAAACTGCACTTCAGGGAGAAGCCTGCATTAAGTTGGCTCCCCGCACCCCACACACACACCGAACTGCCTGCCTGCACTGTGTTCCTGCTCTCTGAACCAGCCCTCATAAAGGAGTTCCTGGGTTAGTATTTCAACTGTTAGAACTGAGGCATTCTCTGTCCAGTTGGAGCTGCACAGCTATATTCTCCATCAGTATCTTAACTGACCAATCAGAGCTGGCTAATCAGGACAGTGACTTTTGGACCAATCAAACAGTGAGGATTTGGAGTCCTCATTTGCATGAGGACAGACCAGTCAGGGACTGGGGCGGGGACTTCCATCTATATAAGTCACTTCCCCAGTAGTTGGTAGAGTGCACGTTCCCTTAATATCACACTGTAAGACTGTTTCCCAGGTGAGGGCTGCTCACCGACTGGAGCAGGTGGAGCAGAGCAGAGCTGTTTAGCCGGAGAGGGGCCTGGTCCCAGGGCCACCCCATGGCTGTGCTGCTTCATAGTTGAGCTGTTCCACAGCTGTGCTGTATCACAATTGAGCTGTTTGCACTGAGCACTTTCCCTCTTCACTGCACCCCAAGTTGGGGATTCCTGTTGGTGTTGAATTGGCACCAATGACCATCAGTTGACAGTTCTTATCTCTTAAAAGGCAAGTTTTGCCCAATTTTTAGTTCTGTATAATTATCTCCATGCTTTATTTGTAATTTTCCTTTCATAAACATTTCAATATGGCTACTTTTAAATATAAAAGCATGGGAATTCATCTCAGTAGTTGTTATATCTGATACTATGAGTTTTGAAAATTGCCTGAGTGACTTGTGTGTGTGTGTGCTGATGCTTTTGGTGACATTTTAATTGACTGTTTATAATATTTCTAGTTTATCAAATTTGAAGACTAAGAACTGTAATATATTGAAAAGTTCTTCGTTTCTCTTATCCAATATACTGTTATTGTCACTAGTTAGTAGACATCATTAGTTAGCAGTTTCTAATACATGGATACATGTTTATAGTACGTAGAATCTTAAACATTTGGTTGAGAAATTGATTTCTTTGGCTTTGCAACCTTGGTAATCGATTTCTTTTTAATTGTTTGACTATATTATGAATGCTGTTTTTTTATTCTTTTCAAATATTTTGCTTTGACTATTGGAAAACCTTTTAAATGTAGAGTGATCTGAAGAAAAAGCACTTTTTGAAAAACGGTTCTGTTCACTTAGCCTTAATTGATTTTCTTTACCTTTTTTGTCCAAAATAGGTTTAACAGCATTGCGCAGTGATGAAGTGATTGATTTAATGATTAAAGAATATCCAGCCAAACATGCAGAATATTCTGTTATTCTACAAGAAAAAGAACGCCAACGAATTACAGATCATTATAAAGAGTATTCTGTAAGTATGGAGATGACTAGCATCTTTTATTTGGTTTGGGGAAAATGACATTTTGTAAAGTTAAATGTGACTTCCATCTGTAATATGTTTATTTCAGCAAATGCAGCAACAGAATACACAGAAAGTGGAAGCCAGCAAAGTGCCTGAGTACATTAAGAAAGCTGCCAAAAAAGCAGCTGAATTTAACAGCAACTTAAACCGGGAACGTATGGAAGAAAGAAGAGCTTACTTTGACTTACAGACACACGTAGGAACACTTTGTCCAAACCCCACTCATTGCTTGTTGGTGCAGAGTCCTTTGTCATTGTCCCTTTCTGTATTGGCCACATGTCCTTTTCTTCCCCAGAACTCAGGATACCATTTTTAATGATGGCCTGATGATACTCAGTTCGTGTGTGTGTGTGTGTGTGTGTGTGTGTGTCTGTCTCCTTTGCGCTGTGGCGTGTGTTCTACTGAATAAGACTGATAGCTATGTGTTGTACTTGCTGTGTGCCCTGAGGGTTGTTGTAAGAGATTTCCAAATTAATTTACTTAATTCTCTCAGTTACCATGCGAATGTAAAACTAGTGTTATTTCCATTTCATGGATAAGGATGTTGAGCTACAGAGGTTTTAGAAGTTGCGCAGGTCACATTGCTGAGAGACAAACTGTCTTTCCTTAGCTGTGACCTTAGGGAAGAGCCGGACAAAACTCGACCTGTAGAACAGGCAACACCGGCTGTCCTGTTGGGTTCCAGCTCCTAACGTCTCTTCTAGCTCAGCTTTTTAGGGGAGGAACGTGGTGGGACTGTTTTCCTAGCATGGAATCAGTTTTGTGTTTCTTTTTGTGCTCACCCAGGTTATCCAGGTGCCTCAAGGGAAGTACAAAGTATTACCGACAGAACGGACCAAGGTCAGTTCCTACCCGGTGGCCCTCATCCCCGGACAGTTCCAGGAATATTACAAAAGGTATTCAGGGCTTTCACTCACCACTGGCATTGGCTTTTGGGGAGGGACTTCCGAGCCTCGGGCTGGCTCCTGAAAGCCTGTAGCGCTGTAAGTTTCACCACAAGTGTTGCCTGAGACTTGTGTCCACATGCTGCCTTCCATGGTTCTGTGGTGAAGAGCTCCCTTCAGCTGGAACGTGGACACCCCCCGGTGCAGCCTGGGCTGCCTGCCTCCCCGCCCGCTCGCTGCTTCTGTGGACATGCACTAGAGGCCCCTCCATCCTCATACGGGCCATGGCCCAGCGGCACTGGTGTCACTTAGGAGCTCATTGGAAGTGCAGACTCGCAGGCACAGCCCCAGACCTGCAGACTCGGGTCTGCGTTTTCACAGACGCCAACCCAATACTGAGAAGCACTGGTATGGCCTACGGAGAGCACGAGGACGGGGCAGAGGGGCTGCGAGGGCCAGTGTGGCCACCCGGTCGCTACAGCCCCGTCACCGCCGTGGCTTGGCTGATGCTGCGTGTCTCTTAGGTCCAACCTGGGTGGGACTGAAAACAGCACTGAGAGTGTCACTTTGTTTCAGAGTCGCAGCTTTAAACCTGTGTTCGTTTTCTGCTAGAGAATATTCTTTAGAGAATGGTATTGAAAATAGACTCGAGGGTGATACTGTTTGAAAGTCAAATTTAATCCATAGGCTAGAAAATGGTAATTTTGTTATTTTGGGGTCAGCAAATTATTAGAAATGATATGTCAGTGTACCGACCCCTTTGCTTTGGGTCTGATGTCTCAACTGAGGGAGCTGCTGACCCAGCGTGTGCTCCTGAGTGACGGCACGAGCGATGTCTGCGTGTGAAGGAGGCGCACGCCTCTGTGGGTGACGGCGGCACCAGCATGGTCAGTGGCTGTGTGCTGCCTGTTCCCGGGGGGCGGGGGCGGGGGGGTGCCAAGCCCTAGTTTCAGATGAGATATGATTAAATTTGTTAGAATACGTGATTCACAAATGGGTTTAAAATAATGTGTTACTGGAAATTTTGCTTCTTAAATAATGTGCCAGGCATTGCTGCGACTTACGTGCGTCAGTTTAGTTAAGCCTCATGTTCGTTCTGTGAGGTAGCCTCTTATCATTGTACCCGTTTTCCATGGGAAGCAGTGACAGCACACACAAGCCGGGCCACTTAGGAAAGTGGAGGAGGGGGTGTGACCAGCCAGCTTGGATCTTGTGCAGGATTCTCAGTTGCCACAGTTCTGCCCTGGTCTGCTGACATTTTAATTTTGGGGGTTGAGGATAAAGGAGAGAGATACTATCTTTTGATAATAAGAATCAAATGCATATTTACACTCTTAGTCTGGGGAAAAAATGTTTGGGCTTTTTATTTATTACTTATCCCTACTTGATATCTAAATTAAAAGTTGTTTATTACCTCTAATCACTTTTCAAAAGTAATTGAGGTTAATTGAAAACATTAAGGCTCTCTTCGTAGCTCCAAGATTAGTCCACTCATAGAAAACAATAACGGAAAACTAAATTGTCTTTCTGAACTTCAGGTACTCCCCGGATGAGCTGCGGTATCTGCCATTGAACACGGCACTTTACGAGCCCCCACTGGACCCCGAGCTCCCTGCACTCGACAGTGATGGTGACTCAGATGATGCTGACGACGGTCGAGGTGATGAGAGAAGGAGAAACAAAGGCACTTCGGTAAGGAGGCTGATCTTCAGGAGGAGGCATCGCCTTTTCTTCTGTGCTAAATGCTTTCCTGGGATGTTAAATTGAACTTGGGTCACCACCCTCTTTTTGAAAAAGGACAGTTGCATGTAATTTCCCAAAAGGTTTCATCAGGAAAAGTTATTTCTTATGTGCATTGACACAGACAAGCTGTACATGGCCTTTGGGACATTTATGTGTCCGGTTGCCCCTTTGTACTTATTATAAGCAGCTTGGGCAAGGCTAGCAAACTTAGTAAGTATAAATACAACCTTATACTTAACTACCTGGCTTTGGGGAGCACATCAGCTAAGCTTTGAACACCTACAATACATGTGTCAGACGCTGTTGTAAGTGCTTGGTGCTTTTGGCCCCTGCGCAGCTGAATGTCATAAAAACAAGGTGTGTGCTTGAAGAACGTATCTAATAACTGTTACTTGATCCAAACACCCATGCTTATTTAAAACAGCCTGTTTCTTAGTAAATATTAATACAGCCTTATATGTAACTACCTTGCTTTGGGTAACACATTAGCTTGTGTTCCTGTTGCTTAATTTATAATTTTAGGCTTCCTATAGGAACATATTATAGTTACTAATATGTCATACTACTAGGTTTTCCTGTATGACTGTTTTTTTGGTAGCAAAATGCAATTGCAAGACTGCAGAGGTTGGTGTGCTCTGTGGAAGTGAAGAAGAACAGAAACTTGATGGCACAGGGTTTTGATTTTATTTAGCATGGCATAGTAAGCGACTGGCCATTTGTGGGCTTTTCACTACGGCCTGTCTGAGCCTGACAATGTGCTGCCGTTAAATGGGCTGCTTTGTCACCGCTGGCTTCTCACACTGTTTAGTGATGCACATTGCATAAAATAAGGTGCTGTTCAATTATTAAAGTGATGATACCACTTTTGTCCTGTCATATGGTAAAAGAGGGTGTGATGAAGTTGACTTTCTCCCACACTGCTGGTAGGAGTACAAATTAATCCAACATTGCGGCAGAGCATTTGACAATATGTACCAAGATTTATAACTTGCACAGAATTTGATCTAGCAAATATGCTAGGCGAATCAATCTAAATGACCTAATCAGGTGCTGACAAAATTTAATCAGACAAAAAGTATTTCTCATTGTGGAAGTTAGAAATGTAATGTCCACAGTGAGCTAGATATTCTGCTTACGTGGCAGATAGGCAGTTCAGAGAATACTCAGCGATACGATAAAATGCATACAGCACGTGAAAGACCGTTAAACCATACATTCACACATGCATGTGATGTGGTCCAGTTTGTGGTTTAAAACCTGAAGGACGCGTCGGTGGGGTGTGTATGAGTGTGTGAGCCGGGCCCTCTCTGTGTGTGTACAAACATCCACCTGGAAAAAAGAAAAAAGGAGGAACACTCATGTTCCCAGTAGTTGTCTCAGGATGTTTATCAGGGTGGTTATGGATCACCTAATTTTTTCATTTATAATTTTCATAATTTATGTGAAAGGAACATTTATATTTTAATTAGAAAATTTTAAATTAAAAAGTGAATTAAGTGATTAGATATTGGACTGCTAAGCTGCGAACATCTAAAACACGTCAGACTCCGTTGTAAGTACTCGGTGCTCTTGGCCCCTGCGCAGCTGAAGAACATCATGAAAACAAGGTGTGTGCTTGAAGAACGTTTCTAATGACTGTTACTCGATCCAAACACCCACGCTTATTTAAAACAGCCCATTTCTTAGACAAATAAGCCCCCTGTGGCACAGCCAGATGCCGAGGCACAGCCGATGCCTCGGCCCAGGACCAGGTGCCGTGCTGTGATACAGACAGGACATGAGTTTGATAGGACGCACACCAGTTGCCCCTGGAAACCATTTTCTTATACTTAGAATTATCTTTTTAAGTTGATGGAATGTTAAAGCTTTTTTGGAATATTTTCTGCAGTTTTCAGAATTCAGACTCAGATCTGTGTGAGTTCCAAGGGATGTCTTTGTGCCTTTGATCTCCAGGACAGCTCCTCTGGCAACGTGTCCGAGGGGGAAGGCCTTCCCGACAGCCAGGATGAGTCTTTCCCGGGAAGACAGAGATCCAGGGACAAAGCTGCTACTCCAAGAAAAGATGCGCCCAAACGCTCTGTACTGTCCAAGTCAGTTCCTGGGTACAAGGTAGAAGAAAAAAGCCCCTGACTCAGCTTCCCTCCTGACCAGCCTCTCTCCCTGAAATATTTTAACTTTGAATTTCACAGTTGTGGAGCTTCTCCTGCTGCGTCTCCTTAGCTGTTCTCCTGTGGTGTGTGCCCCTGTCAGCTTCCTTCTGCTGTGCTTTATCCTCCTGGTGGCTTTTCTCTCACTCTCGGCTATGGTTTAGCTTCTGTTTTCCGTATATGTACAATTTACAAGAGAATCTTTTTTTTTTCTTTTGACGAATAACCAGGCAAGTATGGGTTTTTAAAAAATTATTTTATAGGTGGAGCTTTATACTTTGTTTCCTTGAGTACCGGTCATACTTCCCTGACATTTGAAATATCCTAGTGTTTAGAGCTGAAAGGTCAAGCTGTGAGGCAGGCTGGGTGTGCTGTAGACTTGGCTGTGCTTTTGCAGTGCCTTTCAGTAAGAGAGACCTGGGTTTAATCTACGGATTATTGTCCATTTGCCAAATTCCGCTAACTCTGATAGAAAATAGGAAAGCTTTTTATTGATATTGTGGTGATTTTTAGTCTAACCTTGGCAAATAGCCTATATAATTCTATGACAAGGATTTAAACATTATTTCATTAGGTAATTTAGCTCAAATATACGTGTTAATTTTTTAATCTGGTTGTTCTCAGAGTAAGGCAGTATGCTGTCAGCAATATTATTATTTTTATTATTTCCTCCTGATGTCTGCCTCTTCCCCTTCAGAGGGTTAGGTGATTTGTCTACGGAGATTTAGGAGTATCATAAAAGGAGTGGAACTAGTGCGCAGTTTGATGTTTGGATGGTAATGGTAAAAATACAGTTTTTTGCATCTGGAATGTATCTGAATATGCTTTCTGTTGTGGCCATGATGGTGTTTTGCAGGAACGTGTGAGCAAGGTGGTCACTCTGTTTTGCGGAGTAGCGTTGTAAGCACGTCCCTGGAGCAGAATTGGGCTTGTGGGGGATGGTCCTGAAGGGCGGGGTCAAGTCAGCGGTTTGTGGACTTCCCTTCAACCCAGCCAGAGTTCTTCCATCACTTTGTTCACCTTTCTTTTCTTGAAGTAAAAGCTGACTTCAATTAGTGATTCCATGTTTAATTAGAAAATGCCTTTACGTAATCAACCTAACAAGGCCTGTTTTTCAGCCTAGCGCAGGAAGTTCCTAAGTTTCATTCAGCGAGGGTGGGGTGTCCTGCAGGGGTGTGACAGCAGGTGGCGTGGCGTTCCTGTACTTGTTTTCACATACGTAGCTTATCTAGTGTTTTTAAACTGAAGATGAAATTAATTCTTAATGATTAAAAGCAAATGAACTCCAAAGGTGAAATTTTGGAAAGTTAGCCTGGTGTGTGTGCTACACAGCATGCTGCTGGTCCCATAAGAGCTTCAGATGGGAGTGGCAGCTCAGAGCAAGCACACTGGGTGTTCAGACCTTGCAGACAAGACCACGCTCGCTAATCATGGGTGAAAAAAGAGAATGTTGGAACAGATGTTTTAACAGAGGCTGGAAACGAACTATTCAGCACCGCCATTGATTTACTGCAGAGGAAGCCTACAGATTAACCTCAGTTGGTAGTGCTTCCAGGGGTCCAATATGCAGAGTCCACAGCTTATAATCTCCTGTACTAAACATGGTTAGTACTTTAGGGACTAAAAATGTTTCAGGTAGTTCAAAGTTTGGAACAGCCAGTATTTAGATTTACTGCATTAATGTGAACCTGTTTATTAGAAGTTAACCTCTCTACGAAAAGTATTAATAAGCCAAGATGTGCCTAAATAAGGATACTTCACGCTGAAGGTCATATATATATATATCTGTTTTAAAATAAGGGAGTTGAGAAAAGTAATAATGTGTCTGATGTCTTGCTTCGTAAGATTGACTAGTGCTTGCCCTTAGTCTGTAGGACAGTATTGTTTAGGTTACATTAACCTGGAGCTAAAGCGTACTTTTTAGGGTTCAGGCCTACGTTACGAGTGTATAATTAGAATCTATACTATATCAGTGCTACCGTGGAAAGTCTCACTTCGGTTATTTTTCAAGCAGGAAAGTACGTGTGTTGTGAGCCTTTTATTTGAGATGCTGAGAACTATTAGGATGAGGATTTTAATTTTCTTGTCAGTCGTGGCACTTGGATGTTGTTGCGGTTATTAGTGGAATTGACTGTTGCCATCAGACATCCATGGGGTTATGTCCCATTCACCTTCAGGGGAGCTGCACACTGCCCTTCGTCCTCCAGCAACCCCACAGTGCACTGAGAAACTGGTGTCCCAGCCAGCGATGGGCGCCCGCTGTGGAAAGTTCTGGGTGTGAACAGTGTGGCTTCTCGGAGAGCTCAGAGTACTTGAGTGAGCAAAGTGTGTTTTATGCTGAGTCGTGGCACCATCACAGAACATGCTGGAAAGTGCTCGCGCGTTCGTTCTCTCTCTCCCCCTCCCTCTCTCCTTTTCTCGCTCTTTCTTCCCCCAACCCAGCCCCCTCCCTTTCCTCTACCTCTCCACCCGTCTCTTCTTCTTTTCATCAAGATGAAGACTGTTGGGTAAGAAAAATTTTAAGTGGTTTAACAAAACATGATTTTAAGCTTAGAAGTAGACCTAGCATTTTCTCGGTGTCCCTTTTATCATAGGTGTTTAATGTGTATTTTAATGACTGTAGAACTTGAATTGCTCTAGAATGTGAATGACTAGCCTTGTGTTTTATTCCTTTTGACTTTTGTAAAGGATCTCCTATGAGGAGTTCTCTTAGAATTTATTGTGTGGTTACTTTCTTGACTTTAGTGAAAGATATTAGAGTACTTAGTATGCCAGTATCTAACTTAAACTACAAGTATTAAATAAGTTTATCTTTTACATTTAGTACAGGTACCATAACCAAAAGATATTTCTTAATTTTGGTGAATTGAGGGGTAGCTTTCTGCTGCATATTATGGCAGCTAGAGATTGGATCACAACTGAACTAGAATTTGGACCATAGAAGTGCACTTCCTAGCTATTTTTTATTGAGGTATAGGAAAAAGACAATGAGAACCTTATGCTTAGAATGTAGCAGTAACAACAGAGGGTAACTACACTGCAAGACTTCAAAGGTTTGAGCACGTGACATTATCCTTTTGTTGGGGGAGCAGGGTATAAAGATATACAATACAGGAGATGTAGAATAGTTAACCGCAAAGTTTTATATGTATGTTTTAACTTCCATGATATTTATTATTTTGTAGAGATATTTGTGATTGTTTAGAATTATTGTTATTATATTTATGTATAAGGTTGACTTTTTAAATAAATAAGCCAAAAATTATTTTTGAATGCCTCTGTCATCTTTTGCAAAGAAAGACAATTAAAAAAATAAAAAGCTTAAAGAATTTAGAACAACTTGTTTAGGCCTAACGGGTGTTGAAGGTGGCAGTGAAGACATTTCAAAGCTGGAATATGAAATACAAAGTTGGAGTTTCGTTTAGGCTCCTCTTTGGTTCAGTAACTTAGGAAAGGGAAATAGAAGATGCATTTGGCTAGGTTGGAATGAAACAGAAATATAATATTTTATTTAAAATAGTTTTCCTCCCAGTGTACATATATATCTACTTTGCCCTGGTCCCCATTTCGTAACCGGCCCATTTTCTCTCTTGCTCTTTTCTCCCACTGTTACTGGAGGTGTATTCATCCAGCCTGAATGAGCATCATTTTATTACGGCCAAGGTTGTGATGTTCACATGTTCTCCCTTTGCTGGTCATTTTAGGTGCAGTGAACCTTTTCTTCTTTGTTCTTTTTCATGTGTAGCCACATGTTTTAAAGCTCAAGTACTTTCATTGGATTGAGCATGATTTTAATACATTGTTTGCGGGAAACGAGTAAACTCGTCATAGCGCTTTTTATACCACTTTGTAAGCGGGCATTTTCCGGCCAAATTGCGTCCTAACAGAGGTCTCTATACCTGAGTTAAAGCGCTATGACGAGTTTACTCGTTTCCCACAAACAATGTGATACCAAAGCGCGGGAGTTAACTCAGGTATAGAGACCTCTTTGTTACGATGCGATTTGGCTGGAAAATGCCCGCATACAATGTGTTAATATGAAGAATGAAACTCAAAATATGTGTATTTTTTTAAGTGATAATTTTTGTCTGAAACTTACGTTTTGTATCTCATACTGAATGCTTTTTCCCTATGTGTAGACTCTTTATTAATTGATTAGATGTGCAAAGGGAATAATCACACAGCCTGGTTTTCCACAAACATTCACGCACATGACAATGTCTGCAGGAGCTATCTTTCAGTTAAAAATGTTAAGTATTTTGTAACTTGGATTTTATAGATCTAGTTTTACAACTTTGGAAAATATGTTTCAACAAAATCAGTTTATAAGCTGCTTAACACAGCCTTTTTTTAGAATAAGCCTAACTTACTAAAATAAAGGTCATTTAGAAACTGGGTTTTCTCTTGCAGTTAATAGTGCAGTTTGACATTGTTTTTAGTCTTCCCTTCTAGTTCACTATACAGAGCTTACTGTGCATGCAGGGAGCGTAGAATGCTGCATTGAATCCTAACATGAGAGCACGCCATTGACAAAATTTTAAAATGAAACGTAAGGCTTTAATCAGTAGGCCATCGAATGTTGAAAGCAGACTCATGTCATCTTTGAAAAAGGTACTCATTAGGAAGTTACCAAAAGTCAGCAAAAGGCAGTACAGCAACAGAATTCCTTTTGAACCCATAGTAAGTTCTTCTGGCATGAATTTATAGCCCTCTTCTACCCTTCCAGCCAAAGGTCATTCCAAATGCTCTATGTGGAATTTGTCTGAAGGGTAAGGAGTCCAACAAGAAAGGCAAGGCCGAATCCCTTATACACTGCTCCCAATGTGATAACAGCGGTAAGTATCCACATGTCTTCTTAACATTTTAACCACCGTATTTGTTGCTTCAAAAACTATGGTTTTTAGTTGTCAGCTAGACTTAAAACCAAGGAATTATGAAATATTATAGGGTAATTTGTAAGGCATTTTTTTCTCTGTATTTTCATTTCTCTTTGGTGATTAAATATTGTAGCCATTCTTGAGAATCACAAAGCAAAGTAGCATTTTATGCCATATTACGTTAAAAATTGTGTGAAATACTACTAATATTGGTTTTGGTTTAGGCCATCCTTCTTGCCTGGATATGACCATGGAGCTTGTTTCTATGATTAAGACCTACCCATGGCAATGTATGGAATGTAAAACTTGCATTGTATGTGGACAACCCCACCATGAAGAAGAAATGATGTTCTGTGATGTGTGTGACAGAGGTTATCATACTTTTTGTGTGGGCCTTGGTGCTATTCCATCAGGTAAAGATTACAAAAAGAAGGAACGTTGTGTTTGAGTGAAGGGACTCTCCCAGCATTTTTTAACAGGCTGCGTAAAACACCATAATGACATGAAGGGCCTGTAGACCCTTGTTCACAGGAAATGGCCAAAGCTGTGATCACACAGATCATGTCCACCTGCTTTTCATCCCTAGCTAACCCAACCGAAGGACAGATGAGATGTCAGAGTGCCTGGTCTGAGTTTTGGGAGTAGCGCTCAATGTATGCAATGAGCCACTGTTTTCTACTGAAACAGCTGAAGCAACAGCAGCATTTGGTTCAAAGCCTTGAGTTTATTTTATGGCATCTATTTAAAAATTTAACATGAGTGCTTTGCTTTTGTACATACTACACCAGATCTATAAATTGAGGCAGCATAACAATTCAGGTAACTTTAGAATGAACACAGAATTGAAGGGTAAATCACAGTAAGTGGACTCAAACATCACAGACGTAATTGTGTCATTTTAGAACTTCTTTGCATAGTTAACACTAACACTTTTTAAAATATATGCCTAGAACTAACTTGTTTCCTGGGAATCAGAAGCAACTTAAATCATTATTTAAAGTTCTGTCGTAATTCAGATCAAGTATGTAGTACAGTTTATCACTGTGCTGTCAAGTGCTTGGTTAAGTTTTAAAGTGCTGTGTCAGCATAGTACACCAGGACTTGAGAGGATGCTGTGAAGATACACAGCTACCAGTGAGCAGCAGAGAAAGGGCTGAAAGTAAGCCGAACTCAGCAACAGGTTTTAAATTAGGAATTGTATTATTGAACTTTTTAAGTATGATAGTGTTTGATTTTCAGAAAGGATTCTAATCATTTTTTAAAGGTCCTTATCATCATGTAGCATATTCTTCCAATGCCCCTCTCCCACACATGAATTTCAAACAGCATGAATTACACTGATTACCTTAAGGGAAGTTTACATTTTTCTCCTTAAATTAAGGAACTCACTTGTGCCCTTCCACCACAAACCCAGAGGAATATCATTAGTGGCAGTTAAGGAAGGAGAGTTAAATGGGTTGAAAATTCAGTCGTAAATTAATTTCATTGTTATTAACTAACAATTTTTCTCCTAGGTCGCTGGATTTGTGACTGTTGTCAGCGAGCCCCCCCAACACCCAGGAAAGTGGGCAGAAGGGGGAAAAACAGCAAAGAGGGATAAAATAGTTTTTTGACCTCAATACTGTAATATGCATTTAAAGGAACTATTTGGTGCCAATTTATTTACAACGTTCTCATTTTTATGCCAATAAAAGATTTGTTTTTGAAATTAACTATGTGCTTACAATCTGCAAGTTGACTCATTTCTGTTATAAATTACTCTTACCCTTGGAGCCAGTTTCAGGCAGAGAAGTCCATCTCTCAAAAGGTTTTTCTCTCTTTGTACTTTGGCTCTCTTCAGAAATTCAGTGGAACTATTAGGCAACTTAAGTTGAAATACTTAACTGTATTCAGATCTCTAGTAAGCCTGCAAGTTACTATTTTCATGACATTTTCCTAATCTATATTGTTTGCAGCCTACCTTAGGTACAGTAACAAAATTATTTAGTTAACGGAAGAATTTTAATAGGTAGCCCTCGGTGATCAAGCTAAGAATGACCTGATGGGATGTGGTGCAGCTGGGTTTAGGACTGTCGTTAACGGGCACAGGAGTACCTGCCTGCCAGGAAACGCTGCTTGGACAGGAGCTGTCATCCCTACTGGGGGGGGGGGGGGGGCAGGCATGCAGTTGTAATCCATGCTCTCGCAAGTATGGAGGAGGAAGCATTCAATTTCAGACTTGATTTTAGCTCCTCTTCAAAGCTCCCACATTGTAACTTCATTTACAATCTCTAAGGAGTAAAATTATAAAGCCAACAATGTTCATCTGTACCTGCACGAAAGCCTGCTCTGTGATTTCTATAAACCTAAGTGACTGCAATCTTTTTCATCACCTGACAAGCTAATCAAAATGGAGTTTAAAAATTTTATTGTGCATACTCCTTTTATAGGAATTTTGATCTTTAAAAGAAAACAAATATCGTGTCTGCTGCATTTCCTATTTTCGGGGTAACTGAGGTAACATAACTGTATGGCTTTATCTTCCCATCCCCCAACTAGAATAGACAAGGTAACCGCAGGGGGCGTTCAGCCAGGTAGCAGCAGCGCGGCGCGCGCGCCGTCAGCTTCGGGCCACCGGGTCAGAAGAGAATTTCCAGCACCAGCTTCAGGACGCCGATCAGGACGGCCCAGAGCACGGACTCGTCCTCCTGCGCGGCCGCCTCGGGCGCGTGGGCGTGCCGGTGGCCCGCGTCGGCGCCGTGCGGGGACGCGGCCGCGCCGAACGGTTGCTGCTCCGCCGTCGTGTCGTAGTACACCTTCATCTCGAACTCGCTCTCGCGGTGCGAGGGGTGCCCGTACACGCCTATGCCCACGGGGCGCTGGAAGTGCGCGGGGACGCGCACCACGTCCTGGCCGCAGGTGACGGCCTGCAGCTCGTAGTCGTCGAAGCTCGGGTGCAGGGTGCTGGCCGACACGTACAGGTCGGCGTCGCCCCGCAGGCTCCGCATCCGCAGCACGATCCTCCCCTCGTGGTTGAGCCGCAGGTAGCTGTAGTTCCCGGCGCCTATGTGCCCCTGGACCACGTGCAGGAGGATCCACTCGTCCGGGGCCGCCTCCTCCTCCAGGCAGGCCGCCCGGGACGCGGCCTGCGCGGCCACCAGGACCAGGAGCGCGCCGGCCCAGGGGGCGGCCATGGCTGCGGGCGCCTAGCGCGGCGGCTCCATCCGTGCGAGCTCTGCGGAGAAACGACAGGCGCGCTGGGGGCCCGCTCCCACTCGGCGGCCCGCCCCCGGCTGCCCTCGGGAGGCTCCGGCGAGGGAGAGCCCGGTGCAGGGGTGCGGGGTGGACGCCCTGCAGGGCGGGGACCTCGGGGGCCGGGGAGGGCGGGCGAGGCAGCCCGGGAGGCCCCGAGCCCGGGGGAGGTCGCGGGGCGGCTCGGGGACAGGGCCTCCGCCTGGGGCCGCACACGGGGCGGGGAGGCGCGAGCGGCCGGCGGCCGGGTCTCCGGCCCCGGGACTCACCACCGCTGCCCCGGGGCGCGGGGCCAGGAACACCGGGGCCAGGGCCGGGCGGCCGCGCCGGGAAGCCGGAAGTGAGGCGGCGCCCGGAAGTGAGGCGAGGGCCCGGAAGTGGGTGGTGGCTCGGCCGCGAGGGGCCTCCGGAAGTGGGACGCCTCACGGAAGTGATGGGTGTCCGGGCTCTCGCGAGAATGGTGGAAGGGGCGGGGCGCTAAGCGGCGGCAGCCCGTAACCGGGGCGACGGGGAGGGGCGGGGCGCAGGCGCTGCGCGCTGGGGCTGCGCATCTCCACTCGGCGTCCGCCTCGCTGGCCCCCAGGTGAGAGCCCGTGGTGCCGAGGGACCCGTTCCGGACACTGTACCTGTCCTGCGCTCACCCGACTGAGCACCCGCCTCGCGGGCGCTGCTCTAGTCCGGGCGGGTCCGCAGGTGAGACATAGGTGCGCCTGGGGGCCGCCGTCCGCTCCCCTGTTGCCTGTTGTCTGTTTCTCTTTAAGAACGTGGTACTTTTTTAAGTGCTCCTAAAAGCATCTTCAAAAAGGAGTTGTATTTATTTTCAGGACTTATTTTCTTAATTTTCAGTACCGTGTTAAGGGTCGCCCGTTGGCCATTGAAAGAGATTCCCCTAGGAAAGATGAGGTGCATTTTAGTCCCACGTTTTGTGTTGCTCCCCATTGTGTTTCGTTTTAGAACCTGCGGAATCACGTCTGTGGAAGCAGATGGAGGGTGACTGTTAAACACATGCCCTGACCCCTGGGCCTCTTTCTATGGAACTCAGCCAAGTAGCCCCAAAACTGGTGGGTTGGTCAGGACGCCAACGGAGATTGGCATGTGAGGGTTAAACGCTGGATTGTTACATTTGCAGTCGCTTACGGGCGTATAAAAGTGGCAGGACGGTCTCAGGCTGATTATTGTCTTTGGGTTGATTTGCCTGAAGTCGGGAGAAGTCGCGTCGCGTTGGGTCGTGACACTGGTCTTTGGGCCAGTGGTGGAGACGACACTAGTGGGTCTCAACAGCTTGTCCTGAGAGGGGTGTCTGGTGTCATGTGTGCCATCCCCTGAGCCTGGGCCGTTCCCAAGGGTGACCGCCGTGTTATGTCCTGTGAAGAAAGCATATCAGAGTGGGATCCAAGGGAGTGGATCTAACCTTTAGCTGTGTTTCTGCCTGTAGCTCACTGCTGTGTGCTGGCAAAATATATAAGCAAAGCAAGTTTGTGAACTAAAGAAGAATGTGCTTTAAAATGTTCAGCGTGTTTTTATTTTGTTTTTCTCCAGCCAGCATGGTGACCAGACAGGCCCATTGCTCACTGCTTATTATTCAAACCCTGCGTCCGAGCTTTTAGGTGGTTCTGGGGCCTGGGAGGAAGTGTGAGGCGGGCAGAGTGCAGGGCGCGCGTGGAGGGTTTCAGTGACTTCTTTCCCTTTTTCCTGGGAGCAGGGTGGCGTGCTGAATAGGCACGTCTGGGGTGTGTGTGTTAGATCCCAGTAGTCATTACGGTCGATAACAGGCTAGTGTCTGCATGAAACGCCGCACCTGTAGCCATCTTCTGTGTTCTTGTGTTTTCAGATTCACGATGGAAGAACCACAGGAGATTTCCTCCACCGACGGTGGCTGTGCAGGTGATATCGTCATAGAAAAATTCCTGGTTGAGTCCAAGATGCCCACGCCCCCCGCGCAGCTGGCGTGCGGCAGGCAGCACTGCGCTTTCCCCCTCCATGGAAATGAGCTTTGCGTCTGGACGGCGGAGGACCCTTCTCAGCAGGTGTTTAAGGCTGTGTGTGTTCCTTGTTAAGTCAGGTGACACAGAGGGTCTTGCTGTCACCTCTCCGTTTCTCTGGTGCTGTTTGGGTAACATTACCCTCTGGGGACTCAGCTAGCAACTATGGGAGGAAATGTTAGCACAACAGAAACATGTTCAATTTGATATTTGTAAAATCAACTGTCTGGAATAACTTTATTAAAACACTTCTTTAGTAAGAACGTGAACAAGAATAGGTTCATCTTAACACAATCAAGACAAGTTGAAATTTTCTATATTTTTAATAGTAGCACATTTAAATAAGTATTATGTTTATTGCAGGATCTGATAGTTTTAAAGACATCATTGGTCTTCATTCTAGAGCTTATTTCATGACTAATATCATTATTTGAATACTTTTAATAAAAACAGGTTTCATTGTATAAAATGAAACAGTAAATTCTATCAACATGTTTTGGCATTTGAATAATGTTTGTCTTCACTTTGGGCTTCAGAAGCTTGAGGATAGTGACTACAGCACTTAGGAACCAAAACTATATTTACTTTGACAATTTTCTTTAACTTTCAATCTCAATGTCAATCACTTTGCTAATGGAAGCTGTTCATCATTAATAAAGGGAAACCTGTATTTTGATGCTTCCTGAGTTAAGAGATACATGTTCAGGTCTCCAGCTTGATCTCTCTTACGTTTTCAGTGAACGATAAAATACCTAGAAAAATGCACCCTGACGTTAAGTGTGCATCGTAGTGATTATAACAAAGCGGACTCGGCGGGGCGCCCGCCCGCTCCCGTTCACTGCTCGCTTCTCGCCTCCGGCCCCGCAGGTGGGCTGCGCTCCTGTCCGCACTTTGCACACGTGGGCTTGTGCGTGACGTGTTCTTTTGTGCTGGTTTCTTTCCTTCACCGTTACGCCTGTGAGGTTCGTCCATGTTCCTTTCCACCTCTGCACAGGACTCCGTCGTGTGGTGAGACACACTTGACCCATCCTGCTGCCGCTGGGCGTGGACTTTGGTTTTGATCCCACGTTTTGCCGGCCACATTTTTGGTTTTTGCAAACCCTTGTGTCGAGGGCTGACTTTCAATAGATCGCAGCGAGGGGGCTGCTCTGCTAGCATGAAACCCCGACCCAGAAGCGGGTTGTCCAAGAATGGTTTAGCGCCAGGTTCCCCACTAACGTGCGTTGGTGACGGGCAAGGGGGCGGCCCCCTTTCTGGCCGCGCCCCGTTTCCCGGGACTAGGGGCGCTCCGCACCGGACCCAGTCCACACGCGGCGTGCCTGCCACGTTCTTTAGTGTGCTTTTCGGTGCACGTGTGTGTAGCTGCCGAATCGTAGGGAGTTCACATATTTAGTTTCGTAGGCAACGCTCAGAATAAGACTTACCAAGTGGCTTGCCAGTTGCTACTTCAAATGCTGTGAGAGCTCCAGTTTGTCCACAGCCTCACCCACACTTGGTCCTTTTAATTTGAGCCCTATTGGTGAGTGGACCGGTACTTAATTGTAATTTGCAATTCCCTGCGATTAATGATGTTTAACACCTTTTTGTACATTTATTGATCATTTGGACATTTTCTCTTTTTCAGTCTTTATAAAGATTGAATGATGTATGTGATCAGTGTCTTGCCGTTTTTCTATTGGATTATCTGTCTTTTTCCTATTGATTTGAAGTTCTTTATGTATTCTAAGTATAAGCTTTTATATTAGTTTGCATTTTCTAGATTTTTATGTAAATGGAATCAGACAGTATTTTTGTTTGACTTCAACTCAGAATAATTATTTTGAGACATCTATATTGTTGTGTAAATGAACTATTAGTCATTCTTTTTATCATTGAGTAATATTCCATTGTATGAATATACTACAGCTTAATTGTCTTTCTGTTGGAAGACATTTAGCTTATTTTTGTATTTTTATTTAAGTATTATAAGTAAAGTTGCTATGAATATTTGCATGTGCTTCATTTTATAAATGTCAATTAGGTCAGATTGGTTGATGCTTTTCTTCAAGTCTTCTACATTCTTGCTGATTTGATGTTCACTTGTTCTATCAGTTATTGAGAGAGGCATATTGAAATCTGTGACTAAATGTGCTTTGTCTGTTTCTCTGCCTTCAGTGCTGTCCCATGTATTTTGAAGCTCTGTTATTAAGTATGTAAATGTTTAGTATTTTCATGTCCTCTCTTTTTTTTTAAAGATTTTTATTGGGGTATTGGGGTGAAGGGAACAGTGCTGGGGAATTGGGGGAAGGGGAACAGACAAGTTGCTGTCCTTTTGTTCTTCAGTCTAGTTGTGGAGGACGTTGCTTCACTGGCCCAA